GACGCAAAAATTGAGTCACTATTACGTCACCCTTTGGTGACGCTTGGTGACGAAATCTGAAATGGTGACGGTATGAATGGTGACGCTTTTGGTTGCGTCACTATTGCGTCACCTTTTGAAAAGGGTGACGCAAAAATATAAAAGGGTGACGCAAAAGTTGCGTCACCCTTTTGCTGTTTTCTAGTAGTGTATGAAAGAAAATAAAAAAAAACAAAAATAAAATGACTCTCTTATTCTTAAAAAAAACTCGAAATGATATTACCACTGGATCGGTATATCATCATCTTCATCTTCACTCTCATTATCGATCATCATTTTTATGAAAAAAACAACAAATTAGAAAAGAATCAGAAGCTCTGATATCATGTAGAAATTTGCGGAATAATATTTTTATTGATAACCAAAATTACATATAAATAGATGAGAGTCTTACATTGAATAAGTAAACTAGACATAATGATAAATATTTCTAAATATATATTTTCCGGATTTGATAAGATATCCATTATACGATATATCTCAAAATATTCTTCAAGATCGATGATTGTTATTTATGCAAATTGCTAAAACTAGTACTAACCGCCTAACCGGTAGATCGAGATAAACTAAATGTGAAATATATCCCTAAAAAATTTTGAACCAATATTAATTAACTCTATACATATTATGTGGACTCATCAAAGAAGAAATCTTGGATACATATATATATACACCTTAATTTCATAGAGTTATCAATGTATTCGCAGGAAATATGGAAAACGTACGGTTCATATAAATAAATGTGCATCAATGTTAAATTTTCTTAGTAGAAGGTTTTTCGTATTGATTGTTCAAGTAATAAAAGATCGAACAAGATATCTAATTGTGCTCCATGTGGCTAATAGAATGAGATTTCTATCCAAATACCCAAATATACAAAGCATATTCGAATGATTAGTTATAATATAAAAGATCCAACATTTCCGTTAAAATAAATACGCATATATATATATATATATATATATATATAAAACTTCATATTTTAATACAGATCTTGAGATTTTTTTGCAATTTATCAGGTATTCGACCCAATTACATCTACTAAAAGACCAATGGATCTTTTCTCCTTGATTATATATTCTCTTCGTAATTGGGTTACCATCATGTGTCGTTTTTTATAACTAGATTAAAATTTTATCAGCGAAAATGGAGAAAGAGAGAGGGAAAGCTATTAATGAGAATGAAAAATGAATATTAACTCAAGTTTGGGTGGATTAGTGATAAGAGAAAATATAAAAGATATACTATCATCTCGAGTTGATTCAAATATAAACGTGGAGAGGAATATTCATCCGTACTTTTCCAGTGAAGAGTTAGTTAGACCAAAGGTCCGGTGAATTTGCGGATTATAAAAAAAAAAACAATTTTGCAAAATATTATTAAGTTAAAAATACTTACGGGTAAATTAGGTGGTTGCATAGTTTTTCTAAAATGGCGATTCGGTACGTACGTCAATGAGTGATTTGGTTTATGGAAAGGTGTATGAAAATAATCAATGTAGGGAAGAGGAAAAAAAAAGGGCTTTCGATGCTATAAGATCTTAGAGAATGATGTGTGATTAAAGTGGGAAAAAGGAGAAAAGGAAAATAAAATAAAATAAAGAAGGTTAAATCGAGAAAGCAAAAGAGATCGGGTAAAGTTGAACGTTGTAGTAATTATTTTTCTTGGCTTTTTTTTTTTTATAAATGCTTTTCCTTTTTTGCATGCAAATTAAAGGTAAGTATTTTATTCATCATTACGCTCTATTTGTTCTCTAATCCCAATGAAGCATATATATGAATATCGACCCACTTTCATAGGAGGAAAGATATCTAAACTAATCTTATCCTTCACAAAAAAAAAAAAGAGAATAGTTTTTGTCAAGATTTGTGGAATAAAACTTTTTTATATTATTGATGGTCGAATAAGTTTAAATATACATTTTAGTTTCGTATTAATAAAATTCCTAATTTCTATTCTAATAATAAGAATATATAAATCCAATCTAAATAGTAATTATATTAATATGTAAACTCTATACGAAATAAAACTCTTCGTATTACTCAATAGTTTATATATACATATATGTGAACAAGAAATATAAAAAACAAAATATTAGAGTTTTTTATTACTCGTGTCTGAACCAAATCGTCTCGGATTCCTTCACTGAATTATTGTATTCTCATGGTAAAACGCTTCATTTATCTGTCAAATCCATCTTTTTACAATACAAAGACACACACACACACACACACATATATATATATATATATATATTAATGCATCTCATCGGTAAATTTGTTAGAGAGTAACAATAGTATTCTGATGCTAAAGTTCATAAATGATTGATGCGACACAAAGAGACAAATCCTACAAACATAGAGTACATGTATAGGAATAAAGATTCAAAGGGACATATATAGGATATATATATATATACACACATGTATTGAAAAAATGTTGGACATGAACAAATAGAATCCTTGTTTCTTATGAGGAATTCTGCATTATTTAGACCCACAATCTTTCCTTTTTATCATGTAAATTCTTTTGAGAGTTTTTTTTTTCATTTGCATGAAGGAATGCTACAAATTTAAACTAATACTATGTAATGAAAAAAATATTATGTAAACAGGATTAGATAATGTAAACATGTCATAAAACTAATTATAATAAAAACTAAAATACCGATACAAACAACAAAAGCCTTGACGACTGTCCCTAAATTTTCTTTAAACCGTGTATAAATAAAAATCTTAAATAACAAATATAAAAAATTATATAGCTTCATTTCAGATTTTTGTAAAATAATTTCTATCAACGGTAAACAAGACAAGGTGAAAGTTTACGATGAAGGATGATTGGAGTGAATGTGAATGTACACACTGTCTGATTAACATCTGGCTTGGCTATAACTTTGAGGCCGAAATAAAAAAAAAATTAATATAGAAATTGGTCATTTTTATTTATTTTTAAGTGAAAAAAGTAACCATGTATGTGTGCATTCCATCCACTATTGCAGTCAAAAGGTTTGTTTTCCTCTTTTTGCCTTTTTTCATTGTTTCCTCACTTTTGTTTTTGTTTGGAAAAAATATATATATACAAATAAATAAACAACGACAAAGATAATTAACGTTGGTGTTGTGTTTTGTTTGTTTGTTTGTTTGTTTTGTACAAGATTATGTACATACAAAGGGTTTTTTTAAACCGTTAGAAGATTATTTTCTGCAAGAGTTTAAGATGTTTATGCCATTTTTTTTGTAGGAATTTAGAGAATAGGAGAATAAGAATAAAAGGATTTTGAATTTATTTAGGAAATTTTTGAAGATTAGAGTTTTGGTTGTAAGTCTCGAACATGTGGATTTGGTGAGAGAGAGATGGTTTTGGAATCAAATCTCAGATGGGTAGTGTGTGGCATTAATGTTCTTAATTAGGGTTTGAAGAAAGAGATTACACGAGGTAAAGAACAACTTATTTCACTTTCTTCAAAATAACAGCCAGCCAATTCATGAATTTATGTGGAAATGTTATTAAGACACATTGTTGTAGTAACTAATTGAAACCCATGTCCAAAAGCCTTGATGGATTAATGGGGAAGGAATGGAAAGAGAGAGAGAGAGAGAGAGAGAGAGAGAGAGAGAGAGAGAGAGAGAGAGAGAGAGAGAGAGAGAGAGAGAGAGAGAAATGGAGAATAGTGGCATACACAAATCCCTCTGTTTGGGACAGAAGGATCATTTCAATGGCCCCTTTTTTCTTGGGAGTTTGAACAAACGCGTGCCCTATCAAGCTGACACACCAAATTCAAAAAACAAAGACACTACACAACACACATATCACCAAACCAAGACAAAATATTATTCTCTCTCTCTAATCTTTCATATTCTCTCTTCTTTTCGCTGGCTCGCCTTTTCAAGCTCCCAACATGGATTCTCTTTGCCAGTCTTAAAACCCATCACTTTGCATCACAACCCAAAATTTTCAAAATAAAAAAAAAACGATAAAGCAAAAGGATACTAGATTCTGCTTTCCCACTTTTTTCTCTTTTCATCATCCGCAGGCCATAGTTTTTAAAATATTCTCGGAGCTCTTATAGTGTGTTGTTTCTTCTATATTATCTTTAATTAACCACATGTTGTTATCCGCTCTTATCTAAGGACAATTAGTTATAATTAATAAGGAAAAGCAACTTGAATCATTGTCATGGTTTAGGTGGTCATGACTAGGCAAATCATGAGCTAAGGATCCCATCCACGCCTAGTTTGCATATCTGAAGACTAAAGAAATGAATATACTTTTTTTTAATAAAAAAAATGTATATTTGATGATTTTTATATGTTGGGGTATTTGATGAATCAATTCTTTTGGAGTATATTTGCATGGGGATATATAGCATGGCAGTGTAGATGGCACTTTTTGGGTGCATTATTATTTAGAAAAAACACACACACAAACAAAAAAAGAAAAGGACCCCACTTTTGGGGTTTCACACTCTGTGTTGCCATCATTACAGATGAGGTGGGATGGGTCACACACCCTCTCTGCTTTCAACTTTTGTTTCATTCCCTTTTTTGGTAGGGTTGAAGGAATGTCTCTTTGCTTGCGGGCCCTATAATGTTCTCCTCTAGTTAAAAAATAATAATAATTATATATATATATATATATATATCCAAACTTCTATTCTAGTTGGTTGTTGTGATGGGCCGTCTTTTATTTGGGCTCGCATTGCCTCACATTCATACTTCTTATGGCCCTTAAAAGCCTTAACCATAGTTTGATACATAAGTGATAAGTCAATGATTAATTTTATTACAAAAGTTCCGATCATATTTCTGTGCGTGAACTCATAACGATGATTTCTAAATCATTGAAAGATGCGTTTATTTTCCTTTATTTGCAAAGGATTTATGAACATGCTTTTTTTTTACATCAAATATATTTTACGGTTAGGTAAAAATACTCATTGATTAGATAAGTCACGATGATGGAAAATAAATACATTTCCATATCGAACGATAATAATTTTCTATACGTTTTTTCCGTTCAGCTATTCAAATTTTTTACGATCCTCGTCTTCTGTACGAGGACATTCAATACACACACACACAAAATTTTCTCAAACAAATTAGGTCACAACCCAACAAGCTTTTTAATTAGGAATTATTTACAGACAAAAAATAGAAAACTGAGAAGCAAAAGGAGCATTTACCTGGCAAAGCTCACCAGTCTTTAAGCAGTTCTCCGGCGACATCTCTGTAACTGACTTTCTTTTTCTTCACCGGGGGCATGTCATCCGTTTCAGTTCCGAGGTTGCTGTCCGAAGGGTTCGCGTTGGTGGAAGAAGTTGAAGGCTTTCCGGTTATCAGACTTGAAGTCTCCTCCGCACTTTTCGGAGCAAGGCTCGGGAACATGTTCATTAACATGGCTTGGACCGGATCCACAATGATTTCCACCTTCTCTCTTTTGCTGCCTCCCTCTATGTTTTCGCCATTGACGAAATCATCTTTCATCTCAATCTCTGACTTATAACTTCCCTCATCTTGTGAGGCCTCACCTTCAGCACTGTGGCGTATGAGCAATGATTCTTGATCTTCTTTTTGGGAGTCGGCTGTTTCATCACTTGTTTTTGTTTGTTCCTTTGCAGTCTCTTCCTTTGTTTTTTCACCGAAAGCATCATTTTCCCCGGATTCATCTCCGCCTATCTTCGAAGGCTTCTTGCCTCTTCGGAGTGTTTGTGTTCTTCGGGTTCTAGAAGAACCTCTTCCTCTCGTGTTTCTCTGTAACGGTTCTGACTCTTCAGAAGACTCATTCTCCTCTGTTTCATCTCCACCTATCTTAGAAGGCTGTTTGCTTCTGCGAGTCTGCACCCTCTGTGTTCGATTGGGAATAGACCTTCCTCTCTTTGCTGTTCGAGCAGCCGGCCTTTCTCTTGGCCTTGTGATGGCCCTTTTGGAGGAACCTCGTCCTCCAGTCTGTGCACTGCCACAAGAAGGCACTTCTGTTGCATCCTGGTCAGGTTTACTGAAGAGGAAAATGGCATCATCACCAAAAAACCCATTAGAAAAAAATCCTGCCTGAGATAGAGGGACGTGAAATCAAAATCTTACAGATAAGAACAATACTTACTCTGATTCTTCTGTTTCAGACTCCACCATGTTGCTAGGCCTCAGACTGTATGTGTCCTCGATCAACTTTTGCTCTCTCTGCAAACTTTCCTCCAGCCACTGCATGCTAACAACATGTAGACCCTTCTTCAAAAGAAGGCGTTTCTCCATTTCATCAACACTGCATAGAAAGAGCAGAATTATCAAGGAACATACCTAGTCTCAGATCCAAGGCTCAAGACAATATCCTCCTTTTAAGTGATCTGAGTATTAAATGTGTTGCTTAGCTACATCAAAAAAGTAAGAATGAACATGTGGGCATACCTTTTCATAAGAGAATCAAAATCCACATGGTCTTCTGATGAACCAAGGACTACAATATGTGTTGCATGAGCAAGACTGTTGCTAATTTCTCCACCGCCCATTAAGACCTCAAGTGCCAACCTCCTTGCCGTAAGACCCAACAGAGCTTCCTCTTCAGTTCTCCTTCGAGAAGTAAGGACAAAGATGATGAACAGCTTTACATTATGACATGTTTGAACACTGTAATAAGCCATGAGGATGTCTTACAATGATTGACTGAAAGGGTGGAAGTAAATGCCGCAGCCAAAGAAAACGGACCATCTCTTCTCTGGACAAAACTTTTTCTTGTAGTAGTCAATGGCTTTTGTTTCATCAGATAGCCTGGCGTTGTTTAAGACCTGGAGGAATTGAAGAAAAAGCAGTTTCCAGTCAATTAAATTTATGATTTCAGCAAACAGGCTCAACAAGTATACGCCAGATTCTGAACATGACTAACTGATCATACGAGTATATACCTGTTTGATACCTTCAAGGTCTAAATCCCAATAATAAGAATCAGAAAATTCGTCAATTTCGTCCTGCAACTTTGTCCTCGAGGCATCGGTGAGGTGGAGGAAGTACCTTCACAGTAGATTATTTAGCAGTAGAGATAAAACCGCAAGAAATTTATGGAGCGACATAATGGTGAAGTGTACCATGCGCAAAATGTCATAAGAACTCACCTTGGCTGCAAAGGAAGCAGCTTATTCCATGAACAAGAATCTAACAACCATGAAAGATGGATAACATCTCGTTGACGCTTTGCTGCCTGATATTTTATTCCTGAAATAGTTTGTCCTTGTCATGCTCTTCCATAATTTTTTTTTTGAATGCAATCACGTGCATAAACAGGTGGGATAGAAGAAAGAAGGATACCACTGCTTTCAGCTGCAATGCAATGAGTCACTGAGTTGTTTAAATTCATTGAAAACTTTCCTCCATTCTCAACCACCATTTTGTGCAATGCATCAAGAGAATAGGATGAAGGCACATTAACAAAATCTGCATAATTTGTCAAGGAGATAAAAAGAAAATGCAGTATCCAGAAGTTTTCAAGTCTGTGATTACCAGCAATTTCAGAACATATTATGTAACAAGGCGGGTCTAATTATAACAGAGAAACTGTAATCTGCAAACGTATATCACATGACCTCACAAGTAATTTAAGTTTGTAAGAGCATGGAGGAACACCAGTTGGGGCAAATGCTATACGTTCTGAACAGAAGCTGAATCATTGATTAAAGACCAGGAGAGGCCTTGGGAGAAATTATGCCTAAAGGCTGTCAAAGGATACAAAATACCATATTTGAGAAGATTGAGCTCTTGCCCTTGATATCAGAAACATCAGTTTGTATAAACTGAGAGGGGACAAGAGGGACATTCTTTTTCTCCCTCCTGGAAGATTTATTGACTTTCTGTTTATCCTGTGTGCTTTCAGAATCCTTCTGTTTTTGTGTTGTACCATTACTTGAATTTACCAACACCACAAAAGCTGCAATGTTAGCAGAAACCAGACATGTAAGCAGCAAGCCAATCATTTGATCAACTTTCAAAACAATGGGAACCCACACCAGCTTGTATGGTTCTTTTACTCACACTGTACATCAAGACATTCATGCCAAGGCTTGTCATATCTTACTCTGTCGATACGAGGAAATCTCAGGCTGTAAGGTGCAGCAAACACCTGACGAGGAGAAAAGGTTTACAGAGGCAGAGGGCATAGGCCAAATAAGTGGCAATTCCAAATGCTGCCAAATGAAATCAAAGCCATAGAGGTCTTTAATCCCCTCAATCTCATATCTTACGGACATACCTCAGATCTTATTGTCCTGATATCACTAGTGACTGAAAGTATTATTGATCTGCAACAAGGGTAGGAAAAGATAGGCGTAAAGATGAAAATGTCAAAACAACGCTAATTCTCTTCCTTATTAGAGGAAAAAACAGGCTAAAAAACCAAAAACTAACTTCTCAGGGCTTTCAATCCAAACATCTGGTCTCTCTTTTGAATGATTTGTGACTTGATAAAAGCTCGGAGGCACTTTCTTTGGGTATTCATTTTTCCTGAAACACACACACACAAAAAAAAACAAGTAAAAGCACCGCTAAATAAGGCCTAGACCGTCAGTTTTCTACCTTCAATGTGCACACACACATACATATTAACATGCGCATGTACACACATCTGTCTTTGTGTGTGTGCGCTACATCTCATTGCATAGATTCTTTTATCCTCTTCCAACACACCTTTTATCGTACATATTCAAAAAACATTCATCACCTATATTGAGAAAGTCATGTGACTATCTAAACTCTAGTCGCTTGATCACCTGAAATAAGGCTTCAATTTGCTCACAACAGAGCCAAGCTCATCATCAGAAAGTCCAGTGCCAACTCTGCAAAAGGAAATAAATCTGCCAAAAAGCAATTTATTATTATACATAGCAGTTCCTTTTTAAATTTCATACAAAATGTTCATTACGAATGATAAGTCCAAAAGTCTTAAAGGTACAAGCAAAGCAAATGACTTACAACCAATGATCTTTCCAGGAAAACAGTTTGCAGCCCTTACCTAATTGAGTACTCACCCTTTATGAACTAATAGGTCTAAATTAAATGAATCCGGTACATTTTGAAATAAAATTTCATAAAATAACAGGGAACTATAACAGCTTTCCCAATGCTCTGCACAAAAACTATACCGTGTCACGGCCACAGGAAAAAACCACAATTGAGTTAGGGGGAAAGAGAAAAACCATAAGCAAAAGTGTTTATGTCCGCAAGCGACTCTCTCAGCACTGTAGGTGGTTTACGGGGAAGGGAAAAGGGCCATAGAACTTGTATTCATAAAAAGGATTTCACATTTTAATGGAAAATGTAAAAGCTCACATATACTCACCGCCTGGGAAATACATTTGCCTCTGGTCGTTCAGCTAAGGCCACCAGAAACTGTGCTACCTCCCCTCCACGACGTCCAGAGCCATAATAGCCCCCTGGTAAGGATGTATGAAATCCCTAATAAGCTCCAACAAGCAACGAGCATCATTTTTGTAACAAGGAGAACTAAGATAAATATCTAGTATACCTATAATAAGAACATCTAGGTCAGCACCAGCCCGAATATACTCAGGCTTCAACTTTAACCACTTGCCACTACGATCTCCGGGTTCCCATTTAGAATCCAGGTCTTTCAGCACAATTCCTTCATCTCTGTGAAATATAAGTAAGAAAAATATAATCAGGATTTCGCTCATGTTTGAGCGGTAATCCATATGAAGAGTCTATAAACTAAGAGCCAGACTTCTGACAGGCAATAAACAGTATTCACAGTAAGTGAAGACAGACACAATAACCCACAAGGTCTTATAATTCATAAATAGAAGAGAAGAAACATTTGACTGAAATCTGGAAAAGAACATGGAAAAGAAATTAAAAACCTGTTTTCAACAGTTTCTTTGAAGAATTTCTCAACGTCATCTGCAGCATGAGCAATAATGGACCAACAAGGTTCCCCTATAGAAAGATCATAGCAAAAATCCAGTTGTTGATGCATTACAGAAGTCTGGCAAAATAATATAGTTCTTTAAGGAATCAATATGAAGGTGAAAATATGTAGACGTCAAATGGAGCTAGAATACTCTCAAACATAGCACAAATTTCAATAATCTCTGTCACTAATAGACATAGATAAATACTTCTATCCTCTTTCGAACTCTTTGACACTGAAGAAGTTTCCTGTGTTCACATGCCATCCTTGGATGGCAACGCAAAGAATCTTATTCTTAATAGTTCTTACCTGAAGGGCGATGAGCATTGAGACCACCATCAGGTACTAAGACTTCAAGTCGGCCTTTTAAAGGTTTAACAACTTTCCTCAGAAGTTCATGTCGTTCCTTCAAGCTCTGGTGGATGACACTGGTATCCCCGACATAAAGAACATCAAAGGCAACATCTGGTCAACAGGTCAAGGTAAAAAATCTTGCTAACAATTTCATCAGCAAAACTTGAGTTGTCGACATCAACTTCTACTTCATGCCAAGCCGGAAAACTAAGGATACAACATAACTGCATTCCAAAGAAAAATATTTAAACTCATGATCAAATTCTCATGCAGTAGCAAGCGAAAGCAAACAACAAAAGCAATAAAATAAAACTTCAGGATAAGAACCTGTCTGTGGCTGTCGAGGCCCTCCCTTGCTGCCTTGGCTGTAAAGAAAAATATAACATCCATAAAATCTACCACCAATGAGACTAAATATTTCAACAGATGGAAATTGATAAAAGGCCAAACCTATTTCCTGATTCGAACCAAACTCAGCAAATCGATTGAGAGATGCATCCCAGACCAACATCTCGCCATCAAGAATACATCTATATGGTAATAAATAACAATGGATAACACATGGTCTGACATTGCATGTGCATATTCAGAATAACCTCCACAAATAGCAACTGGACTCTTACTTGTCAGCCTCAATATTTCGTACAATAAGATCTGACATTGCATGTGCATATTCAGAATGGTCAAGGAAGTTCCTGCAGAATCACCAATGAAATAAATTGCAAAATTCCAACAGTGATGGATAACTGCACAACCATAAAATTTGGGCCATAGGCAAATAACATTCTTAAATCCCAGTCTCGTACAAGAGATGTAACCCACCTAGAGAAGTAATGTATCTCTGTGCCATTTTTATGTATTTGTATGCGATCTCCATCAAATTTGCATTCAGCAACCACAGATTTCCCATGGAGCTACAAAGATGGAGAAATACTCATGAACTAGATTAAAGATGGAAAACCTTCACCAGAATGGCTTGCAAGAAAAGAAGAAAAATCAAAGTGGCAGATATGGAGTAAGCAGGCAATTGAGTTTGTGGCAATTTACCTTTTTCCAAGCAGCATTTACATCACTGATACGCATAGCCAACTGAGGCCGCACAGCCTTCCCAACTTCTATATCCTACAAAAGTAATGAGAACTGTGCCGTAAGTTGAGAAAATTTTGACACGATCAAAGAGTATAATGGATAGTGATGACATGTACGTTACTTTATCTAAAACATGAGATATTTTCCCAAGACAAGGGACAGAAAGTACCCAAGGGTAACAAATACAAACTGGAAACCTGTTGTAAAAGGTACCAAATTTCACACGCATCTTATCTATTTATAGGTTCAGATAAGATATTTTGTCATTCGATAGTTTCCATAATTCCATTCAAACCTGGCGCTTATGCCGCTGATGCCGATTCCTCAACTTTTCGCAGACTAATTTCAAGTCACATGTGACATTAAACAAGTCCTCAGCATCTGGATGGAACTCCTGAAAAATGCTCTTCTCGCTCATTCCCAACTTCAAATCTGTAAAGCAGTGAGCAACAGAAATCGAATTCTCATGTATCTCTGGAAGAAATAGGCCAAAAAGGGATGTAAAACATTCTGAAAACATGCATGAAAAAGTCCTGCCTTTCAGGATGATCATAATGATCCACTTCATTTCCTGCGCATTTGTCTTCTGAATCAAAGTGGAAAGAACAGAAGTTTTGTCTGCTCTATTTTTCATGGATTCCCAAAAACAATCAAGAACCAGAAAAGAGGAGAATACAAAGTTAGCAAATATAAAGTAGTAACCCATCTTACCAAAAGAACCAAATATATGAACCCTAAAACAGAGTTAATATCAGTTATCTCTAGACCAAACGAAAAAAAAAGATAGCAACTCAATGCAAAACAACCAAACTCAATTCAAAGGGGTAAAATGTTACATTGACAAGATTCCATAGAAGAAAAACACCTGTTCTCGCTGGAAGCCAAACGATCAAGCGAATCATTCAGTTCCATGATGGTCAATCCACCCGATGCCATTCCTTGCCTACGTTGCAGCACCTATCCGCAAAAAATCCCCAAAACGGCATTTATGCTCACTGTTTCCTCCGATCAAAATCGAGCGAAAACACGATCCACTGGAACTCAAACAAAAAACCTGAAAGTCAACGAGAAGACTCACCTCGAAGGAGATTAGGGCAAAGTTACCGGCGTTGGCGCCAGCCTTGGCGGTGCCGCCCTTCCGCCAGTTGACGAGGCGGACAGCATCCGGTGAGTCGCGGGAAATGCCCAACGCGTCGATGAGACACGTGGCCAGTACGGATTCCTTGAGGCCGTAACTTCCGCGTTCGCGGTCGAGAGATGGAAGGATGAGTCGGACGGCGGCGAAGTAGTCGGAAGGTTTGCAGTAGGTATCGAGGAACTTGCGGAACTTGGACCGTTTCTGAGCGGAGGTCTTGCTCTTCTGAATCCAGTTGAAGAGAGAAACCAGAACGTTGAATTTCACCTCCTCCGTCATCTTCACCTCCGTCGGAGATCGTGCGTTCTTCTCGATCGCCGGATAACTAGGTTTAGGGTTTGAGATTCCGCCGGAGAGTTCTCGGCATTAATGAATATGGCTTCCTCCGGAAGCCCGTTGCAATTTGAATTGGACAAACAAGGGTAAAAAAGTAAATAACGGGTAAATTGACAACGTGGCAGACCCAAAAGAAAAGAAAAAAAGAAAATAGAAGGAAAACGCAAACGCCATATTTGGCATTTATTAGAGTTTTCGGTTAGCGTCTGCGATTGTGCACAAACAGCACTCTTACGAAACAGAGGAGCAAAGGTGTTGGAAGTGAAGTACACTCTTTACATGCAAATCAAGGAGTCCACACAATACACAGCCTCCGATGAAGACACGGACAACATGTCGGAACCACGACATGAGTAATACAATTTTATGTTCATGAGAGATGCCAAAGACCGGCAAAAGTGACCATTTTCCAATCCATCAAGATGCATTCCTATCGTCTGATTTGACCCGCAATTATTTTCTGTAGTCGAAGACGTGTTTCAGAACGTTGACCCGTTGAACCCGAAGAACGGACGCTGGATAGAACAGAAGAAATATCAAGCATTGAACTTGTTCCGTCTGATCATGGAAACAGAGGAACAGATAAAAAAAACATGGAGTTATACACTGATTTATGAACTATAAAAGATGTAAGAAGATGTGTCTTACGTTCAAAACACTGTGCCTTATCGACATGTCGGTATGGCTATAGCATGGTTCTAATTTCTAGCTCAGTCTACCGCAAATATTGATACAAAATGCAGTCTGTACACATACCCATTTTCTGAATAAATCTAATGGATAGTAAAGTAACATTTCTAATATTCTATCCTCTAAGCATCGAAAATATGAATCAAGTTAGTCTCCTCGCATTATTCCATGCATTCCATGCACTTTGATGGCATTGTTCTTAAGCAAAAACAAACGTGAAAATGGAACCCAGATCAAACTTACCGGAGAATCATAGAATTTGATATAGAAACGGGAGCTATCTATAGAGAGCTTTGTTTGAAGAATCTCAGAAATGGTGGAACTCAGCTTTCCATTCACGCTCGGTCCAAGTCCACCTATAGATATTAACTCCCCGTACGCAGCTGGTTCCTCAGTACCAGCAAATGAAATGGGCACTCCGTTATTGAGCAAGATCATCACATACTGAAAACAATAAACGAAAGAACATGCATTAGCCACGACAGCCCTAAAAAGATTCCACAACAAAGTACTCTCCTTTCTTTCTTTTGCAAGAACGAAGAAGCCAATCTCTCGTCCAGAATTTCCCTCTTTTCAAAAAATGCAGTACCCAATTCACACATCCAGTATCTAAACTACGAAAACGATGAAAACGCCACAAACGAGTCAAACAGGAATTTCATCAAACATGTGGAGTGCACTGACCCACAGCAGCAGGAAAACCGATAAAGGTAAAACCCAGGTCGTTGGACTCTACGTTCAATACACTCTATCAACTCAAACATAAAAAATCCATGAAGCAATGCATGTTCTATCTAAAGTCGTAAATGGGCAATAAAAGGAGAGAGAGAGAGAGTCTTAACAGATTCGGGTTTGCCGATAATCTTAGCCACGGCCTTCGTGGCGTCTTTGAGGATGTCGGAGGCTGTCACGGCATCCACCGGAATGTTCGTGAACAGATTAAGTGTTGGCATTTTCTCCTCCTTGAGACAAACGACGCTGTCGACAGTTTCTATCAACTCAAACATAAAAAATCCATGAAGCAATGCATGTTCTATCTAAAGTCGTAAATGGGCAATAAAAGGAGAGAGAGAGAGAGTCTTAACAGATTCGGGTTTGCCGATAATCTTAGCCACGGCCTTCGTGGCGTCTTTGAGGATGTCGGAGGCTGTCACGGCATCCACCGGAATGTTCGTGAACAGATTAAGTGTTGGCATTTTCTCCTCCTTGAGACAAACGACGCTCTCTTCACAAACGAGTGGCCCTCATACGGGGAAGGTGGGATAACGGCCTTCCATGCAGAAATATATTCATGAAATGAAACGACCTCAAAAGATTTTTTTTTTCCATTTTGTTTTCTCCTCAATTTACACTACTCGGTAGTCACAAATAAAATATAATAATAGTAATAATCTATTATGACTATAAAATTCCACTCTACGCGTAGAAAATCATTTTTACCGGGCAATACCTAAACATTAGTAAAAAAAAATGGGGTGTTACATAACCATTTCATTAGGCCTAATGCACAAGCACAAAGTTAAGGATATTTAACATAACATATTTGATACAATTTGAAATGCATTCACACATTAAATCAAACTAATCTCAACCCCCTCCCCCCGGGCCCGTCCAAAGGCGCATGTATATATATATATACACAGTCATTTGGCACGAAAACACGAGAAGAGTAGGTGGTGCAAAAGGTAAATAAATATAACGAAATCGTTCCGTACTAACCACGCCATATTTTTCAAACACTAGTTTGATATAAGACGAGGGTAAAAATAAAAAAGAAAAGAAGCATTCACATTCAGGCAGTTAAAACGCAGTTATCCAACGTGGGCATTAAAGAAACAGAAGATGCTGTCCCGTCGGTGGAGGACACGCCCAGTTGCATTCCGACAGTAACTAAAGTCTCCAAGGATCTAGCGCTGTTAGCTACCAGATCCTCGTCAATTCGTACCGCACCCTGCCGAATTCATCATCATTAAAAAAAAAAAAAGCTGTCGATGCAGACCAAATCATACTTCGTATATGTATTTGTTATAGCCGTTTTGAAACTGATCTTTAGTAAGCAAAATATGAAACAGTGCTAACCTTCTCAAAGACGCATATAACCGTGCTTCCACCGAAGGAGAAGTATCCAAGCTGGCATTAGAGAGAGAATGGTAATGGGAGTTTAAGAGTCGAAAGGTATTTGCATAAGGAACATCTGTTTTAAAAGTACTTTGCTTTGTAATAAACTGGTAACCACCTCATCTCCCTTCTTCAGATTGTCGCCCTCCTTCCTGACAAATGTGATGCTACCGACCATTGTCGCTCCAATAGCAACAAATGCTACCTGTTACATATATTTAAAGTCAGGAAAGGGAGTTCCATTGTATGATCAGATTTCATTTTACAGTTTCTTTTTTTTACCGATCAGATGACAGATTTCTGTGTATTTGTACAGATTCAGATTCGAAACTTAGCATATGTTCAGAACTAATTATGTTTTCCAGTCATCCTAATCCTATTTTCATTCGGCCATGTGTTATTTCTTTAAAAATTACAGCCACAGGCCAGGCGAAACAGAAATAGATACGACATCGCAAACCTTTCCAAATTCACGTGTCGAGATGATTGCCACGGTCCGTTTATTCTCCGTGAAAACATTGCAGTACTTGCTATTTACCGCAATGGGATTAACCTACGAAGCAAGGCGTAGATAAACAGGGAAACGGAAGTCATGGCCATGAGGAGATAAGAAAGAAAGTGCTGAACGCTAAGAAGGGGAAACATACTGTATATAAGCATCCGGGAATTTCCACAAACTTTTCGATGACTCCGGAGACAGGAGCATGAAAACGATGATAGTCCTGTAACAAGTCGAACAACCGTGTAAAGAAGAGGTTATTATGTATCTTAATAATTTGTGTTTTGCAATAAAGTATGCAGCCTTGTCAGAAACCTGTGGGGCCAATCGAAATATCACCAAAGCTCCATCGAGATAAGCATCGGAATGCAAATCCTTCCCTAGGAGGCCTTTAACCGAAAACTTTCGGCCCTACCATTTGATGTTACGAGAAACAGAAAGAAATGATCAGAGATTTTAGGATGGTGAGCAAAATCTACAAAAGGGGTTGTCTACAATAGATTTTACACTGCCTAAATAAAAATATAATATCTACAAACCAGTTTACCTTGATCCAGAAACGCGTGCTATCCTCTACGGACTGAAATGCCATTAAACGACAATCGGCAGCACATGCAGCAACATCATCACGATCCATGCAAGCAACTGGTCTTGCACCAGGTTTTAACTCCCGAATGAAAAATTCATTGAACGTCTGTGCAAGTAAATTGGTCAGATTCTGAATCAAACAGAAGTACACAAGGTTATATAGCTATTCAAGCTATCTAAATCACAATATGTACTAGACTCTACTTTCTTTCCGCAGTGCACTAAGAAAGTAGATAATTTATCTCAATTTTACGTTGAAACCAACCGTGAAAACTTATAACTCCAATCTAATAGTTAACGTTAACTTGATCCTGATGGTGAGGTAATAATAGAAGGCTTGCTTACCTTAAAGTGATCCAGAGGATACTTGACTTCAGCCATGTTTATTTGATCCTGTAAAGGAGAGGGATGTTTCAATTCTCACGCCAATTTCAACCAAAATTTACGGAAACAAAAATAATGCCACCAAAACAAAATGTGGGGATGTAGTGGATTGGTTAAGGACCAGGCTCTACAGAGAAATAGAGAAGAAAATTCAAGTAATGTCCTATGATCTCCGTTAGGATTTCACATGAGATCTGTTACCAATAGTAATGTACTTCTTTTAAGATGTCCTTTGTAGTGTTGTACAGTTTCAAAAACACGTTTCAGACAGATGTTTTCCAAAGTCTAAGCCACACCACAAGTCCCCCTACTGACAGGCCAAAATCCAGAAGCAACTTAAGGGCCGGAGAAAGCTAAATGAGAAAAAATTATCATGCCTTGAAAAACTCAAGAAACTTTGGTATATTTTGGGCAGATTCAACCGAGTTCATTTTCTTCCCCTGCTTCTCAGAAATATTCTGCAAAATCTCTTTTGCTCCTGCATCAAGGAGATCAATCCAGCATGAAATATCGATGAGAGGAGAACAAGAGACAGAAAAAACTGAGATTGTATACCTTGGTCCATAAGCCGGAGTCCAATTTTTGACTGGTAAATTGCTCGCATCGACAAAACAATCTTCGGATCAATCAACTCCTCCACGAGCCTCTTTGTCTTTCTATCAATCACCTAAAGTAACAAGCAAAGCGCACAGCAAAAGCAAGAAAGTTAAAAGAAGGAAAGGCGTATCGTATCAGAGCTTTCTCATGCCAGTATTAGCTCAAACTAAAACATAGAAGTTTCAAGGAAAGACAAAATGAGACAGGACACAGTTCGCCTCCAAATTAAATTTTCTGATATATGAATAAAATGAAGAAAGAGCTACAATACCACAATATGTGAAGCACTTGAACCAGTATTCAAGCCGACATCATATGTTGATAAATGAGCCCATTCACTCAGTTTGAACATCCACCTGGAAAATTGTTAACTCCAAATGTTGGTTAACCCTGAAAGCATATTTATTTCTTACGTATATCTGATTAAAAACCTTTAGAAAGAAGATTCTCACCCATAAGATGCCTGTCTATCAGTTAGGAACCCTCCGGTCATTACTTGATTACCAGTTCCTTCGTCAAAACAGAGAGTCATGTGAATCATGGTATTGAGCTTATCAGAAACCTGAAGAGTCTCACCGCACACAGGGCAATTATTTATAAGTGGCTCCCTGCGATAATAGAAAGGGAATTACAGAGACTCGTATAGGAACTAACCAATTTGGTCAGGAAAGTAGCATTCAAGAATTATATTTATTCAACAGAACAAGGTCTTTAAGAGGCCACTTACCTCTCCTGTTGAAGAGCAAGAAGCGCAGCCAACTCGTCTATGCTCACAACACCATCGCCATTCAGGTCAGCAGCTTTGAACAACTCCTCTTTCTGGTAAACAAGTGAGAGATAACATCAAGTGTTTTTCTCAAACAGTGCCGGGCTTTTGAAAATGTAGGGCAGAGCCTTTTTCTTTTCCCATGAAACTCTCACCACCCCATTACCAAACATCTGCAGACACAAAAAAAATAGAAGCACACGCTACTGACAGAGGTGATAAAGCTGAGTAAGTTCAAACCTTGTTAGCAGCCACTTGGTTGCCAAAAGCACTAATTAGATCAGCAAACTCAGTGAGTGAGAGTTGTCCATCTTCATTATAGTCCTGCATTTTGTTAAAGAACTCAAGCTATCAATTCTAAGCACCCGGGATGATATAATATTCCATAGATAAACTGCTCAAGACAACCATCAACCATAGTGTTCAGAAAATTCAAACAGAACAAAGACAGTGTGGTAGCTCATTGTTTCTTAGGTAATACACACCTAGATTCAACTTGAATAAAGAGAGACCAACCAGAAAGACAAGCACAAGGGGACACTTAAAAATGTAATATATAGAAGACATACAATCACAAAACTAAGAGACTGTAATAGACAGAGAGGATGTTCAGGCAAAGCATACCACTATAGACAAGATACGCTTTGCGAAAAGCTTCTCAGTTTCAACAGGGTCCTGCATACGTTAGCAAGCAAATATCAGAAACCATTGTCATTGTATTTGTCCAACCAAGTCTCTACACACAGCAGACCTCAACAGAGCATGAAAGGAAGATGCTGCCAACAACATTAGATGAGGTCGGGTCTAACAGGTCAAATGACTTACAACTCGAATCAGATTCCTGCATCACAGCCAAGAAAAGGAAGAGCAAAATAAGCACAAGCATCAACATTTTGTCGTGAATTCTTCATGAACGGGCACTGCAGAATGCACGAGGATTAAGATTTCAGAACCGCAGTGAGTGACAGATACTCAAATGAAAACAGTTGGAGAACGAACATCGAAGAACTGAACTATAACTTCCACTTCAAGCAAAGTACAGAGTGGAATAACATACAGAGTCAGACCCACTGACCTGAGTTAGAAACTCGAGTAGATCAAGCTCACAATAACCCACGATATTGTTCTTAGAAAGCCTATTGGTCTGCACCAAGAAAGCCCTATCACCAGATCATTCCCCACAGAAAGCCGAAATCTAGAAAGAACAGAATTTAGTTGATTATCACAAACCTCGAACACTGAGATTCGAGCAAGACTAGGTCCATTTCTTTCCAAAAGGAGCTTCTTTTCCTACTTATTCATAATACACAGAAAAGTCGATCCGAGGTTAGCGACCCTAATTAGCCGCAGATGCTTAAGAGTCACACATCGGTTTCAGATTTCTCACAGAATTCCAAATTGGTTTGTCCGTGCTGCAAAAATCATCAAAAACAAAACCGTACCGACATTCTTAGATATAGGAAACTCGTGTTACGAGGTGAATTAGGAAAACAGCATCTATGGGGCCTTACTTGTCGGAGATTCCCGTACGGAATGTCTGTTCCCCGAAGGAAACACAAGCAAGCCACTTATCCTTGAACTCCATCTCCGCCTGCCAAAACGACGACGCATGATCACCGTACAGAAAAAGAGAGTTCACGAGAAAAACGAAGAGAGAAAGAGGGGGGGAAAAAACTCGAAGCGGAGAACAAACACATACGCCGATGAGAGTGAGAAGAGCAATGCCGGAAAAATCCTCGGCGGTCACAGATCTCTGATCGGCGGCTCCGGCGACACTGCCGGAGGAGCCA